CGGGACCGGGGACTCGGCGCGGGACCGGGGACTCGGCGCGGGACCGGGGACTCGGCGCGGGACCGGGGACTCGGCGCGGACCGGGACTCGGCGCGGGACCGGGACTCGGCGCGGGACCGGGGACTCGGCGCGGGACCGGGGACTCGGCGCGGGACCGGGGACTCGGCGCGGGACCGGGGACTCGGCCGGGACCGGGGACTCGGCGCGGGACCGGGGACTCGGCGCGGGACCGGGGACTCGGCGCGGGACCGGGGACTCGGCGCGGGACCGGGGACTCGGCGCGGGACCGGGGACTCGGCGGGACCGGGGACTCGGCGCGGGACCGGGGACTCGGCGCGGGACCGGGACTCGGCGCGGGACCGGGACTCGGCGCGGGACCGGGGACTCGGCGCGGGACCGGGGACTCGGCGCGGGACCGGGGACTCGGCGCGGGACCGGGACTCGGCGCGGGACCGGGGACTCGGCGCGGGACCGGGGACTCGGCGCGGGACCGGGGACTCGGCGCGGGACCGGGGACTCGGCGCGGGACCGGGGACTCGGCGCGGGACCGGGGACTCGGCGCGGGACCGGGACTCGCGCGGGACCGGGGACTCGGCGCGGGACCGGGGACTCGGCGCGGGACCGGGGACTCGGCGCGGACCGGGGACTCGGCGCGGGACCGGGGACTCGGCGCGGGACCGGGGACTCGGCGCGGGACCGGGGACTCGGCGCGGGACCGGGGACTCGGCGCGGGACCGGGGACTCGGCGCGGGACCGGGGACTCGGCGCGGGACCGGGGACTCGGCGCGGGACCGGGGACTCGGCGCGGGACCGGGGACTCGGCGCGGACCGGGGACTCGGCGCGGGACCGGGGACTCGGCGCGGGACCGGGGACTCGGCGCGGGACCGGGACTCGGCGCGGACCGGGGACTCGGCGCGGGACCGGGGACTCGGCGCGGGACCGGGACTCGGCGCGGGACCGGGGACTCGCGCGGCGGGACCGGGGACTCGGCGCGGGACCGGGGACTCGGCGCGGGACCGGGGACTCGGCGCGGGACCGGGGACTCGGCGCGGGACCGGGGACTCGGCGCGGGACCGGGACTCGGCGCGGGGACCGGGGACTCGGCGCGGACCGGGACTCGGCGCGGGACCGGGGACTCGGCGCGGGACCGGGACTCGGCGCGGGACCGGGGACTCGGCGCGGGACCGGGGACTCGGCGCGGGACCGGGGACTCGGCGCGGGACCGGGGACTCGGCGCGGGACCGGGGACTCGGCGCGGGACCGGGGACTCGGCGCGGGACCGGGGACTCGGCGCGGGACCGGGGACTCGGCGCGGGACCGGGGACTCGGCGCGGGACCGGGACTCGGCGCGGGACCGGGGACTCGGCGCGGGACCGGGGACTCGGCGCGGGACCGGGGACTCGGCGCGGACCGGGGACTCGGCGCGGGACCGGGGACTCGGCGCGGGACCGGGGACTCGGCGCGGGACCGGGACTCGGCGCGGGACCGGGGACTCGGCGCGGGACCGGGGACTCGGCGCGGGACCGGGGACTCGGCGCGGGCCGGGGACGCGGCGCGGGACCGGGGACTCGGCGCGGGACCGGGGACTCGGCGCGGACCGGGAACTCGGCGCGGGACGGGGACTCGGCGCGGGACCGGGGACTCGGCGCGGGACCGGGGACTCGGCGCGGGACCGGGGACTCGGCGCGGGACCGGGGACTCGGCGCGGGACCGGGGACTCGGCGCGGGACCGGGGACTCGGCGCGGGACCGGGGACTCGGCGCGGGACCGGGGACTCGGCCACAAGGTAAGGCAAGTGAGTAAGCTCCCAAACACAAAGCCACTGTAGGACCCATGAATGCTTACCTGCTCGCTTCTTAATTTGAGTCATTGCTGAACGACTTCATGGGGCAGTAGCATTATCAGGCTTTTCCTGTTCTGAGTAGTCACCCCCGATGTTACCTGTTCATAGAGTCTCCAAAGATATATCTTAGAAATGGTAGAATATATCTTAGAAATGGTAGAAAACACGAAGAAAAAGCAGCCTACTCTGAAATTCTGAGTCTTTTTCAGCAGAACTCTAGAAAAGCTCCCCAAGTTAGTGCTCCCTAAGTAGTTTTAATCTCAAACTCTCCTGGAGTGGCAGTTCTTCCCATCATTCCTCATGCTTATTATATAGGAAAGGTCAAATGATCCCCACCTGGCAGATTTCACTTCACATGTGTGGAGTCATGAGACCTTGTGGAATAGGCTCATCAACCTGGCTTCTATGTTTTAGGTTCAATTGCTAGTTATCACTAATAGAAATAAGCTGACAAGGGGCTTAGTGATTAGAGTTGACCTAATTAATTAATTACAAAAGGCATATAAGGGTCATATTTCTACTAGTCATTCTGTGAGGAAAATTAGTACAGAGTCTGTTAAAATAAGATAGATCAGCATAAATAAAAGAAACAAAGAAAAGGAAAATGACCTAAAAGGCAAAATTGTCGTCATAGATTTTCATCTGTCTTGTCACGACAGATAAAGAATACAGCAATCAGAAAGACTTTACTTGATATTAATGTTTTTTAAATTTCCTTTTCTGAGTTTTCTTCTTTATGCCAGAGTTTTTAAAATCTAGCGCCATGACCTCTGACTGCAGTATTTACTTAGGCTGCATATAAACTATCAACTATAAATGCCAGGATCTGGATCCTCACTCCCTATTCAGGTGAAGGACCGGGCAGAATGTTTAGGCTTTAATTTGGTTACATGACTACATTGCTGTAGTCGTGGTACCTGTCATCTCTCTACAGGTACCTCAAAGGAGGCTGTAGCGAGGGGGTTGGTCTATTTTCCCATGTGCCTTGGTTGGATATTAGGAAGAACTTCTTTACCGAAAGGGTTGTTAGGCAGTGGAATGGGCTGCTCAGGGATGTGGTTGAGCCTCCATCCCTGGGTGTCTTTAAAAGACGTTCAGATGTAGAGCTCAGTGATATGGTTTAGTGGGAGACTGGTTAGTGTTAGGTCAGAGGTTGGACTCGGTGATCTTGGAGGTCTCTTCCAACCTAGATAATTCTGTTTTTCTGTTGCAGTCTCCCAGCTCAGAGCCAACCACCTATTAGTCTGGCGCAACGGATTTGTGCATTCCTAGCACTAGCTGTTCCTTCACCTCCTCTTCACGTACAAGGACACGCGTCTCTTTCACGCTCCTTCAGGAGTAAACAAGCCAGGAGAGATTAAAGCCTCTTTCTCCAGGTCAGTAAGATCCCTGCCTTTGGTTTTGTTGAGAATTCAGGCCCTAACAACTCAAGTGTCTTCTGGACGGTGTTTCTTCTGGGTAGGATAATTTCATTTCCCTTTTGAAGACTTACAGGGATGTAGTAACAAAAGCAAAGGCATAAAACGGTACCTGAGGCACAGGCTACTTTTCAGCCTGCAGCAGACTATAGGTATGATATCATCCTTTGATATCATACCTATATCATCTATCATGATATCATATCAGGAAACGTAGAAGACTGCCTGTTGCTTCTCAGGTTTAAAGTTTTCCCTTAAAAGGTGTATGCAAAGGTGTAATCAGCTGTTTGAGTACAATTCTCATGTATACACGAACATTCTCCTCTCCCCTTCCCAACTTGAGTGCAACACTTTTCATCATACTATTGTAAATTCTGAGTCAGCTTAGCTTTATGAGGTTTATTTGTGGGGTTAATAAAAGGCAAGTAAAGAGTGCTGGGTGCACGGGGAGTCTGGGTTCCTCCAACACGCACACACGTTACACCAGGTGGCAGCTTTTTCTGCTCCTAGGCTAATACATGTTCATTTCTACTTCTAGAAAAGGCAGGGTTATTATAATTAGTTCCTGGATTCTGAACTCTCCCACTGGCGCATGCCTATCAGTCCCTGGTGGTCCCTCTGGGGGTCTTCCATGCTGAAGGCTCATAGTCTTCCTCCCAGGCTTTGTCCTGTGGTACATCGTCCTTCTTTGTGGTGACTGTCAAGTCTGGTGCAAAAAAAAAAAAAAGGAGAGAATTTCATGAATAGCTTTCAGAGCAATGGTCCAGATAACCAAATAGATTTTGAAAGAGTAAGAGTGGAGATTACACTTATGTGTAAAACGTGTAAAAGGAAAAACTCAGTAGCATATTGAAAGAGTGGATCTAATAATAAAGTCTTAGAGCAAATACTGTAAACAAGCAGGACTTCTACAGCTGAAACTTAGAGCAGAGAACTTCATAGCAAATACAGGTCAAATTACCAGATGCTTCCTGATAACATAGGAGGCACTCTGTGCCTGCTTGCAATTCCTCACTTAGATAATGCATAGGAAACAAAATGATCTAAACTCCCAAGGCACTTGACCCTGTGTGCAGTTGTCTAGGAACAAAATTATGTACAAAATACAGAGATATTATCTGGGTCTTGTGTATATCGTGATTCCATAGCAATGGAATTTGCTGAAGAATTGTGGTCTTGACTCTTGCTTATTATTAGATACTAAATGAAAGGGTATGAGAAGGATTTGGGAAGCCCTGAGGGAAGTCTATGTGGTGAGCATTTTGCAAACATCTAGCAAATGACAGTCCTGTCCTTAAGGGAACACAGCCTACAGAATGAGAAGATACACCAGAAAGTGTAAATGCCAATAGTAGTTGCAATAGCTGGGATTATTAAAAAAAAAAAAAAAAAAAAAAAGGATCGTGGTGGTGCTTATAAAGTGTATTTCCATGAGAAGGATGAGCTACCCATTGTCTGGAGGGAGGTAAATTTGGAAAGGAAAAACATTCGTTTAGAAACAGCATGATTAACCATGTCACTGCAGAGCAATTCTCTAACTGCCTTCCAGCCATAATCATCTCACAATCCCAAACTGCCATCCCTACCATTACAGGTCTGAGAAGACCCATCTGCTGAGAAGACCCTCTGATCTTTGCCTAGTTGCCAGAATTTCCAGCTTCTACCATGTAAGTGGAAATACTGTCAGTGACAGTAGCTGAATGTGAAGCATTATAGAAAAGGCTTAAAATTAGTTTATAATGGCTATGAAACTGAAGAGTGTCTTTGAACTGAGTTAATGCTCAATATGTTTTTTTAGAATCCCTTAATTTTTAAAATATTAATGAAACAGCTGCGAGATATCTTGTACTATTCCAGAACATCTTCATGCATTCTTAGATACACATTAGATACACATTAAGTGTGAATATACAGATTTTTGACTAATCATGGATACGAATATTAGTTAACAGAACTAAAATTTGGTGACATAGGTCACATTCCATAATCCTGTAAATAAGCCAGCTATGCTCTGATGGCATTTTACCTGGGGGGGAGGGGGGGGGGAAAGAGGTGCTTTGTACAGTTTTTCCTTAAGGTAATGCACAAAATACAAGTTATACATATGCTGTTTTATAGTCCTAGACATACCCCCATAGCATCTCACATGGCCATGAGTTCCCTCACATGGCCGTGGAAGCTAGGCAGTACACAGGGAAGTACATAGGAAGTATAGGGAAGTACTGAGACCACAGCTAAGAGTCAAAATTAAATAAGTTTCATCAGTTTTAATGGGTGTATTTGTAATTTAAGGTACTATTTTCTTTTTTTTTCTTGTGCATTTAACTGCCCAACCAAACAGTTGCTTTCAATTAATAGCTGATCAGATTTTATGTTCAATTTAAATCCAACATCTTTAAATAGCTCTAACATAGAGTTCAAATTGCAATTGCCAGCAAGCAGTTCTCACTAAGACTCATTCACACTCACTCCAAATAATATTTTGGGATGCTAACAGAGATTGAGAGCATTCCTTTCTCATTCTATTTCAATTTTGACATCTGTTTGTTTGTTACCTTTTGCATTGCCTGGCCTCCATTTGGAAATAGACTACAGAAACTGCAGCCACAGCATCCCACCAGTACACAAGCAGTACCTGTGCAGAAGCTGTTCACCGCCCACAGAGGGGAAGGTGAAGCTAGCAGCAACCTGCATGTATGTCAAGAGCAGAAGAACAGACCAAAGTGAGCACTCTGTACTGCCACTCCAGCCAGGTGAGTTTGGCACTGTGGTTTGCATGTCTTAGGGTGCTGCTGTTTACAAGGGCATGTCTTAAGGTTTCTTTCCCAATCTGCATTGTAGTTTTTCTAAGAGCTGGTCTGTAATGTGTGGAAAGAGAATATGTGGATATGTCTCTGCCTTATGCATATTCTCAAAAATGTGATTTTATGAAACCTAGATTTGACTATAAGGTTCTAGACTGGCACAACTCCACTAAATCAGCAGGTATCTGCCCTGCTATGATTGGGCTAGTTTGTTTTTGGACGTCACCTGACAGTTATCAAAACTGAATAGAGTCAAGTTAGCAAAGCTAAGACAGAAGAGCAGATTATCTTGGGAAGGCAACAAGCCAAATGTGTCTGATTTCATAGACAGACCATGGTCAGATACAGGCTTAGCATGATCGGGAATATTGTTATAGGATTTGCAAACTTTTTCAAGACTTCACCTAAACACAGCCTATTCTGAGAACTATCCGAGCCTCACCACGAAAAGCAGAACCTTGAGGAGCACTGTAGCAAGGAGCAGGAATCCTACAGAATGAAGCAGTATTCAGAAGTCAGAGAATGAGTAGTGAATCCACTAGAGCCCAAAGGGGAACTAAACACTACTCAAAGCTTTCTGGGGCCGATGCGGAGTTTTCCAAACTATCTGTATTAAACTAGATTCCTCAGTCTTAAATGGCAGTGCCAATTTCAAATGTATTTTTCCCTTTCGGGCTTTTTTCTCTCCTTTGGGAGAAAGCGGGAAAAAAAGCACTTGATGTTTTGTAAAAAAAAAGTCTTGAAGCCCAATCTCCTGTTCAGGTGAACAATCATTTAATAAAAATCTATTCACAAACTATTGGCAATCCTTTTGAAAATAGAATTGGTCTTCTTGCTCCTATTATGTCCCTCAGCGGGCTGTTTTAGTAACTCTTTGCTCTGCTCTTTAGAAACCTTCTTTTAGCTGTCATTGTGCCAGTATCATCTTTTGGAAGGCAGAGCAAATTCCTCCTCTATATGTACTCCTTGATGCGTTCATAGGCAGCAATCACACCTCTACTTATCTAATTGCTCATTTGAGCGATCTCTTTTAGCAAGACAGGCTCTTTGTGAACCTTGTATCCAGTCTCCTGACCTGCCTAGTGTCCAGTCTCTGAATCTGTTCTGTGCACACAATCTAGATCTAATTAATTTTTAAATAATGATAAATAGAACACAACAGTCCAGGAGAGGTGTTATTATTTCATGTAAATTGGAGTTAATAATCCCTTATTTCTGGTAAAATATCTTGCTTTTCAGATGAGGATCATCTTTGTCTTTTTCATAGTTTCATGTCAGTCACATCTCACAGTTGGGCCATAAACCTAACATATCAGTCATTGTCCCTGGACACCTCCAGTTGATAAACTGCCAATTTAAACCAGAAAGTCATGCGAGTCTTTGCATTTTCATCATGTTTCTATTACTCCTGACTACAAAATTGATCACTGTTTGTTGTATGATGTTCTTTTCCCTCTCTGTATATGATATTTTGCCACTGTACTGAAAATGCCTCCATGTCATCAACAGATTTCATTAATATGTTTCTAGCCTATGTGCCAAGGCCATTCGTGAGAATATTTTATAATACTGAATTCTGTAAACAGTCCTGGAGGATGTCTCCCTATAATCCTCCTTGAACCCTCAGTGATAAACCTTTGTTCTCTCTCTCCCTTACTCAGGTCCTTGCCAAACCCTCTTGTTACTGTCATACTCATTTGTATTCACAGTCAAGTGATTCTTACAGTATTTTGCATCTTCTCCATTTTAACTAATGGACTGTATAAGAAAGCTTTATAGCAGTCACGACAGATTTACTACATTTTCTTTCCCTAAAATAACGTTGATTGTTGTCAAAAACAATGCCAGAAGAATCTGTTACAGTCCATCTTTTGTAAACTCAGACTGTGTTTTGTCCTATTTTTATTGCATTTATGCCTTGCATAAGTTTTTTTCCTTTACAGTGTGTTCTAAAGCATTGTTTACTATTGAAATCTACAAGTGCATTGTTATGTTCTTTCTGTGTTATCAAATCCGGAAGTAGGGTTTGCTGTACAAGGTGGAAAAAAAAGTACTCATTTTGTTTTGTGGCCTTAGGTAGATAACTGTTACTTTCTGATCTGTTAATCTGTTACGATTGCACAATGATCCTACCTTTTTATCATTAAAGGCTACTTATTTTTGGTCTTTTTAGCAACTTATACATTATTGCTATATTTCCTGACCTTCAAACCAGAGAAATTTTGCTTGGTTAATTTCCTTTTCCATTTTATAGGCTTTTTATTTTAACTCCAAATACACTTGTTTTCAGGTAGCTGTTCATCCATTTGCAGCAGACCCCTTCTCTAGAAGTGTTTTCCTTTATTTGGGATTCAAATTACAAAGGGTTTTTGCAACTCACACTTAGAAATTCTCCCAAATTTTCTCACCATTCAGGACTTAGGGCTCTTCAGTCCAGCCTACTTCACCAAACAGTTCTCCTTGCTTTATAAAACTTCCTCTCTAGTTTTCCAACACTGTTTTTTTGTTTATTTAGATAAATTTAATTTATATTGACCTGATTTAACTCATGATTTAACTCATGATTTAACTCATTGGACCCCAAATTATTTTATGCCACTCTTGTTCTTTAGCCAGTTGGAGCAAAGAACACAGTACTTACTCAGGAACACTTAACGAGTAAATTATCAAGCTTTTTCCTTCCCCCAGGTAAATGAAATACAGTACAACAGCAAATACATATTTCTTCTGTTAGAACAGTACATCACATACAGTCTTTTCAGTTCACATGATGGCAACTCTTCTTAAGAAGTCTTTGATTTCTAGTTGTGAAGAGGCTGATTCATTAATTTTTGTGGCTTCCCAACAACAACAAAAAAAAGTCTGTCTCATTTTTTCAAAACATGTTGTGCCTAATTTAGCAATGCCTACTTTATTCTTCAAGGCTAGAGCCCTACCCTTGAATAATCCTGATGCTTTCCACTGGGGCAAATTGATAGTAAGAGACACAATATTCTGAGAAGACGTAGCAGAATCTGACCCTGAAGGAAAGGCAGTAGAGTCTTACAGAGTTTATGAGGGAGGTAAATTTTTATTGTTATGAAGGGGTGTGGTAGTAATATTGGGAAGAAATTCAGGTTAAATAAAAAAGTATCAGGAAAAAGTATACTGAGACCAAAATACACTACAGTCCAGAAACACGTCCCACAGGGAATCTTGGAAGCTTAAAAGCCTTGGACTTTTAAAAGCAGATCTGATGAAGCAATAGAATGGGCCTGCATTTTTAAGCTGGCTAGCAGAGATTTTTTCCATCTCTGTCTTCTGTGTGTGTGTGTTCCCTACCTCCTCTTTCCCTGACAGATGTTCTACTCCTCATTAAAGAAGGGAGTAACAGCACCCTTTCCTGACTGGTCCTCAGCTTTTACCCATAGTTTAAGCCTAGAATTCAAGAACTGGTGCGCTGTTTTGTACCTAGCTAATTAATTCTAGCTATTATCTGTCCGTGAAATATTGCTCCTGTCTGTGGCTCAGCACAGGCAGAGAAGCTAGCTACCACTTAGCGGTTCTGTGAAGGTAAAAACCCTTACTTTTAAGGCACAGCTTGCAACCTGCAGGTGGGACTCAAAATAAAATGTTTTTATTTGTTCTGATTAATCTCACATACTTGTGGCACCAATGGTAGGTGATTGGTTTTTGCAGAACTAGTTCCCATACCTCTATTTTTTTTTACGATCTTTGTGCATATTGTTAGATTTACATACATTCCACCTCTAACATTAGGCTGGAGTCATTCTTCATCTTCCAGGGTTAACTTATCCATCATTAGATGGACCCATGCAGATCTGTATGAAATGTTTGCTTTTAAAGCCAAGCTTTCTTACATCAGCTTTTGACATTTTATTCACTTGGACAAGCTGATTAATGGTGTCAGCATTGTACATTTGCTTTGCAATGAATACTAAACAGATGTTGTACTGGCTTGTTGCCCCAAACTATGAGCATGAAGAGGTGAATCCCACAAGACCTTGCTTTTGTGAGTAGGTCAGTCACCAAAAGGTCGAATAGTGTCCCTCAGTCTGTTTTGTACATACATCTGATCTTGATTAAACTTAGATATTTTGATTCAGATCTTTTGGGATAGGCTTTATATTAGAATTCTAGGGTCAAAACCTAACTAGGCAAAACTTGTGCTGCCTGTAAGAGCAGTTTTCTCTGTGAGGGCTTCTGGGTGAAACCAGTTGCGAGTTACTGTCACTATATCTACTGTTTGTTCTCAGTAGGTGTGCAGGCAAGGTCTGTCAGGAGAGGCAACATCTCATCAAGCCAGTGGGATGTAACAACAGAATGTAATGTTTCAGACACACAAGCACCTCTTTTGGTCTGAAATGGAGACCACAAATCTCACAAAGCTCTATACACAGTGAGAAGTGAATAGTTCTTCCAATAAATCTGGGTATGCACCTCTAGGAATAAATTATCTTCCTGTCTTCTCAAAATCCAATGGAGTTATTTATTTTATTTGATTTACTAATGTATTAAATCTGTATAGACAGAGCTATGAAATTATTAATATGGTAATTTGTTCATTCCCATGTTGTCTGTTTTCTCTCAAAAAAAAAATTCTTTCATTCTAGGGAAAAAGAAGAAAGAAAATAGAGAAACTACACATGAATCCCACACAGGTAAAACAATCTATTTCAGTATATGCAAAATACGAATATTTGTAATGCTGTGGGGTCTTACTGCCATCTGTAAAGCTCAGAGAATAGCTCCCAAGTGAATCTCTATTAATTCCCGGTTTTCACCCTTCAAACAAAGTTTTATAAGATCATTCTGAATGGTTAGGATATTTAAATGCCAGAATTATGATTTTTTTTTTTTTTAATGGAAGAATGTGTTCAGATGTAAGCTACTTCAGCTAGAAAACCCTTTTCCTTTATAAGCGTCCTTGTCCCACAGATTCCTGAAACTTGGTTATTTAGGTTAAACTAAAGAGAATGGATTCAATTCTGGAGGTGCATGGTATACTTTCTGCTTTTGAACATGATGGTGACCATCACAATACATTTTCAGATAAGGCCAAGACAATTTTATGAAGAAAAGACAGAAGAAAATATAAAATTATTTCAGTGTTAAAATATCTCTGAAAAGACAAACATAAAGTGACAAAGGACATAAATGTATGGAGGCCATCTTCTGTTTACTTTTCTGATAACTACACGTATATTGTTTACATTTCTCTATATCCATGTTACTTGCATTTCATTAAAATAAGTCCTTCTATGGTGTAACAACCAGTGCATTTTAAGCCCATTCATTTAAACTATTGAGAGTTTATGTGCGCTAAAAGCCAAAGGCAACAAGGCTTTTATTTATTGAACACCCTTTATATTGCCAATGTACCTTTTCTTGTGTAAGATGACTGTCAGTTGTGGCATAAAATGATTTCTAACCTAATTCATCACTTTCCAGTTGGCAATACCCTTCCCCTTGAATACAAATTTACAAGTAAAAAAGCTATTGAAAGGTCAAAGGATAGAGAGAAGAAGAACAGAATGGCACTTATTCCTTTTGCCACTTCAAGTTACTGACTTCCTTGCTGTTTCCATGCATTCATTTGCATAATAGAGGTGATCATCTGGCCTTTATTATGGCAGATTGAATGTAAATCAGTTACTGAAACATATAATAAGTCCCAGGGAACTCTCTCCACACTGGCATACAAATGAAGGCCCTAGTGCTGCCTAGGGATACTGGAGGTGACAAAAAAAAATATTAGTGTTGCTGATTGACTCTCATTGTTAGAACTTGCATTAGAGACTGTAGGAGGATTTCATGGTCTCAGTGAAAGAAGTGTTTCATTTAGTCAATTTCCATTCTCCCATTGCTGTAAAGTTGTTTAAGAGACTGGCTCTGGGCACCAGCCTTCATATTTCAGGATAGAACTTGCTGCCAAAACCATCCTCATTTTTGACACCCTCTTGGACAGAATTGGACTGCAAGATGGGAGATTTCTGCTTATATTCAGGCATAATCATGTACTTAATGGCCTTATTTTAAGCATCAAACGTTTTCATTAGGAAAAGACCCTCCTGATCTGCAGTGTTCTACTGAGTCATTCTGTTCAGAATATATTTGCAGTTTCTCTGGTAAGATGCTATTTTCCTTCTCAACACAAAAATGGCTGCAGGCTTTTATTCTTGTACTCACCACACTCGTACTTAACCTCTTTGACCAAGATTTCCTACCTTTCATTTTTCCTAGAGCAGGCTAGGATGCCTTACCTCCTCTATCACTTAATAGAACTACTGCACAAACACACTTGGTCCAGGGCTTCCAAGGAAAAAGGTGCACATCTGTGTTGCTGTACCTCCCTTCAGCAAGTCTGACAGTTGCTGCTTAAGCTTCCAGTATTGAATGTGGTAATCCCCTTGTCTTTAAGTTTGCTTCTAAAATATGATTTAGTGAACCTTTTTCTTCTCGTCTGCCAGTAACGGTTGTCAAAGTTCTTCATGACCTTCTCCAAATTAATTCTTGCTAGCATTCTTGTAAGTCACATCTCACTCAGCATGAGATTGACACTATTAGGTCATATGCTGCAATCTTCTGCAGTCTTCCTTATTTTTATTTTAGTCTTGCATGAAGCACGTAGGGACATGTGTTGGCAGAAAAGCTGGGGTACTGTGCATTAAGGAGTGTGCACAGGATTTGTCTCATAGATCTGAAAACAGAAGGGGTCTGGCGAAGTGAGTATTGCCAGTCATAAACCTAAAAAATAACACTAGGACAGAAAACATAGTGATATTTTTAAAAGATGTAGGGCCAATGAAAGGGGTGGGTGGCTTTCTTCTATCTTGTGGCTTCATCTTTCTTTCAGGTTGATTTGGGTCATATTTTAAAATTCTTTCAGCAATCATAATGGCCAAAACCGTACTCTTTTGTAACATCTTCTCTCTCATTCTCTCTTTTAATTTGGATTTTTATTCTTGAAACTCTTGCACAATCATTGCTTGCCAGCATCCAAGTGCTGGCAACAACACAAAACAAGAGAAATTTCCTGGGTTTTATAGTAACTGGCAAAGCTATTCTCCAGGGAGAGGCATTAGCCCTGTGCATAAAGCTTGGATTTCATATAAAACAACCCAGTTAAATATGCTGTCATTTTCATGTATGTCTTTATTAGCATAGCACAATGTTTCTTTTGATGCTTTAAATATTTTCAGACATCCTCCCATTTAAACTTATAATTCTCTGTTATTTATGTTAAACGTTACACCAATTTTCTTGAGGCTGAGTCATATTTGCCTGCAGTTGTAGCTCTGTATTTCATCATCACCAGTTAGGGTTGTCTACAGCAGCACATTACTTAAATCTAGATGAAAGATATAATCAGTTTTCATTGCTGATCTGTTGTTTCTAGAGTATATTTTCACATTTTGATTCTTCTCTTTTCACTAAAAGTCCCTTTATTTGTCACACTACTGATGTGGTAGCAACTCAGATCAGTTTGCTTTGGTGGGACTACAACCAATCAGACAAAAAAATAGGCTGCTGTCCAAATTTGTTAATCTGGAACAGACAGAGGTGATACCAATATGTTTATGGTCTAATGCACAATTTTAAAAGCATACATAATTTAATCTCTTGAAAAATTGAATTTCTTTGCTACAGAGATTACTAATCTCATCTTCAAAAACAGAAGAATGTCTCTGTTTCTGAAACAGAAAATCTTGCTTGAAATTCAGCCTTTTGCATCTTAGCTTCCAGATACTGTCTTCACAGGTCCCAGATTTTAGCATTGTAATTTCATATCAAGTTTGTGCTTACATCTCTGGCTCCCCTCAGCATTAGTAACAAATATATTAAAACTAAACATTATGTTGTTCTCTGACCTTGATGTATAGACATAGTATTTTCTTTAGGTTGAGTATATAGACCTGAAATGTGCAACACCTAACTGCTTTCACCTTTATGAAGGTGACAGAAAGGGTGTTCTTAGTATTTTCTTAATTTCTTAAATGTGATTTGTTCTCCTCAAGCATGTAAATGTATCACTAAAGAGCTTCATCTTCTGGGGAGCCACGTCTAATATTTCTATAGTTACCACCAGTCAATGAGGTTGGAAGCAGGAATCAATGTAAGATCACCTTATGATTCAACCTGTTACAATGGCTAAAGTAATTTGGAGGCAAGAATGTGTAAGGATGCAGGCAGAGAAGAGGGCTAGAATAACATAGATAAGATGCACAGAATTCAAAGGAGTTGCACAGGGCATGACAGATTGTTTCTAACTGGGGTTTGCATAAAATAAGTGAAACTAAGAAAGAAAGCTATGGTCCTGACTAAAATGTAACATTGAAAATAGGGAGAGTGATAGAGCAACTATATAATAGAGATTAAATATGTGGAAATAATTGAGGCAGCAGAGTCATGTATCTCAATTCAGCAAAAATATGTACAGACTTAATTTAATGAGCACTCTTCATTGCCACATAAGCTAAATCTATGCTTAAATTACTACCTGTGCTTATGTGCTACATTAATCGTTGTGAGGAATGTTTTAACAATTCATGTCCATAAAGAACAGTCCTGTCTGCCTCTGGGCCCTGCACTGGCAATTTAATTCTTGAACCACAGATGCAGTGTGTCCCAGTTTCCCCCTCATTCTAGTCAATTTATCAAGTCTTCAGAAAATACTCCTCAAATTTATGAACCTGTTTGCTTTTGTTATTCCGGACTTCTATTTCTAACAGTTACAGCCTTTTTTTTGTCTTCTTCGAGATTAACTTAACACTGCTATAGATGTGACTGTCCCTGTGAATGGCTGGTGAAGAATGTTTTAATTACTGGTGAAGTGTCAATAAGAAAGTTATTTGTGTTTGTATGAAGTCTTTGATGTCTGGGGGTTTCAGAACAACTGATAACAACTAGTGACTGTTATGGGATACTATGCAAACCTCTGGTATCTGGCCAGGTGTTCAAGAGATTAAGAAGAAGAAAAAAGAAGCTGAAGGATGGCTGGGAGACAAGACCTGCAGAAAATGTTCTATAAACTTGGTATGGTGTCAAAGGAGTACAAAGGACGAGAAAAAAACTTGGAGCTGAAGACTACGAGCCTTCAGCATGAAAGACCCCTAGAGACGACTGATGCGCATGCTCCAGTAGGAGGGACTGGACCCCGGAAGCTAATTATAATAACCTGTTTTTTTTAGAAGTAGTAATGAATATGTATTAGTCTAGGAGCATAAAAATCCGCTGCTTGATGTAACTGGTGTGCATCCTGGTGGAGCGGAGACTCCCGGTGCACCCAGCGCTGTTTGCTTACCTCTATTCTTTTATATTCTTTTAATAAATCCTATTTTTTATTTAATCCTAATTTGAATCCTGAGCCATTTCCAACAATCGTATAGTAATTATAGTCTCACTTCACACAGAGCCATAGGATTCATTTAATTCAGGTAATTTAGATGGCTCACTACTTGAAAATGCTGCTCTTGCTTAAGAGTACCAAAAGCCCATAATTACAAGACAGAATTTCTCTTTAACATTTTTCTAACTGTTTTTACTTGAACGATTTTAGTAGTACTGGGCATAGATCCAATAAACATGGATTCGTTGAAGGGTAGAAGACAGGCTGAAATCCTCCCTAATATTTTTTTTTTCTATGTGATACCATAGTAAAATGTAAAAGAAAATTGGTTTTGGAATTTATGTTACCTATTTTTCTTTTATAATGACTTCTAGGCCCAGTAAAATTAGCAGATGTTTCCAACCAAAATAGCACAGAACTAAATTTTAAGTGGTTTATTTTCTTTTAAAAACATAAAGCAATCATCAGCTGAGTAACTTTAGACTGTCAAATAAATGTGCTTTATATACAATCGTAAAGCTCCTATCTGAAGTGAATTAAAAATTAATCTTAGGTAAATATATCATGGTGGTTTTGTAAATGTGTTTCTGGAGACGAGGTTAATTACATCCATTGAAGTGAATAATATACAATCAATACCCATTTTCCTTTCTGGAAGGATGAAATCAAATCCATTCTGCAACTGGGACTTTGTTGTTGTTCTTAAAAAGTCAGCAATAACAAGCAGTTAAAATGGGAACAAAGAAAAAATGAAAACAAAGAGAGGAATATAAGGATTTGTACTGAAAGCTATAACAAAAAGTAGAAACCCCAAATGAGATGAAAATGAATAGCCAAGAGCAACAAAATCTAGATCCTAAGACCTAGATCCTGCAGTCCTTTACCACCACATATTTAGCTAGTGCAACAGAGTGTAGTGCAGGATTCTGGAAGTGTTTGCAAGATCAGGCACCAACCATCCAGGTTGGCTGAAGATTAGTAGGAACTATAGTTAATAAAATAACATTTGAAATATCGTGTAAACTACTGAAGCTCCAGAGATACTTTAATTCTGTAGAACTCATGAAAGGTTAAAGTTATTCACAATTTGTCATTGCTTTTCTTTGGATTTTTAATTAAAATGTGTTTCCCAAAAAGCTGAATTATGGCAAAAGAGAGAAATAACTATTATAATAATGACATGGCAACTGTTTTAATTCAAATACTTTAACAATTAAAAATAATCAGAAAAGGGTGGGGTTTTGTTCCAATATTGTTGTAGCTGTTAAATTATAAAGCCATATTTCAATGAATAATGCTTTTATACTATGAAGCTTGGACAGTTTCAGAGACAGCGAGGTTTTTCCATGGCGTATGTCAAATTCTCCTGTTGAGCTGGGTCCAGTTATTCGTAGGCAGGCATTGGGAGGACACTGGATCTATCCACTTTTAGGTAACAGTGCTACTAAGATAATGACCACGGAGGTTAAAGTTTTCGTTTAATATTAAATGATCTTTTTAGAGTGTCTCCAAGACATACTTGTATTGTGGTAAAGGAGCTTGCTTTGTCAGTATACCTGTTGGATAGTTTGTGATGTCCAGGAGCATTTATTTTATATATTATTATATTTATATATATTATTATATTTTATATATTTATTTTTTTAAAAAGCACTTCTACAAAGTTAATGTGCAATAGTAAGGCATTTGTCTCTTGCTTTTCTGGTGTTAAGACCTCCAAATGGATCAGATGAATTTGACTACCTTGCAAATGTAGCTGTAATCTTAACAACTGTAAGATAATATTTTGTATGCCTGTTAAGCAGATAATGTAATTGTTTTGTCTGCAATTCCACCAAAAGCAGTGGAATTTGCTTTCTGGAAAAAGAGTAAAATGTACTAATAATTCAGTGGATACCAGGGTGAAACTCTGAACCTGAGTATGAATCTGAACTTGCACACAAGTGATTGCTTGTGAATACTATTCTAGTAATAACTTGTCAGGTGTCTGCTAACAGCAGAAAGGAGATATGTTGCCCTTAGATGCGCATATAGCTCTTGTATCAGCTTTGTGGGTGGGCCTTTGTATTTACTGTCACAGAACAAATCTAGTGCATGTGGGGGATTTAAAGAATTAACGTATAAGAAGTTGGATGTGCCATCAAAGATCTAATGTGTTAATATTGTGAAGGAAATCAATAATTTGTCTACTGTAAATGCATTCTTTGTTTTCTTCAAGTGCAGAAGAATTTACCTGCTCATGATGAACTCTTATTTCAATAAGGGGGACAACGGGCGCGGCTCAAGGTGAGCGGGGCCGGGGGGGGCTGAGGGCAGCGGGCGCCTCCGGGGGAGGCCCCAAGCGCTCCCCCAGCGCCCCCTCAGCGCCCCCTGATCCCGGGCCCTGTCACGTGTACCCCCCCCCCGGCCCTCCCCGGTCCCAGATCTCCCCCTCCTGGTTTTGGGCCTATTTTTGAAGGACATCGAGGTGCTTGAGCAGGTCCAGAGAAGGGCGACGAAGCTGGTGAGGGGCCTGGAGAACAAGTCCTACGAGGAGCGGCTGAAGGAGCTGGGCTTGTTCAGCCTGGAGAAGAGGAGGCTCAGGGGCGACCTTATTGCTCTCTACAGGTACCTTAAAGGAGGCTGTAGTGAGGTGGGGTTGGCCTGTTCTCCCACGTGCCTGGTGACAGGACAAGGGGGAATGGGCTTAAGTTGCGCCAGGGGAGTTTTAGGTTAGATGTTAGGAAGAACTTCTTTACTGAAAGGGTTGTTAGGCACTGGAACAGGCTGCCCAGGGAAGTGGTGGAGTCACCATCCCTGGAAGTCTTTAAAAGACGTTTAGATGTAGAGCTTAGGGATATGGTTTAGTGGGGACTGTTAGCGTTAGGTCAGAGGTTGGACTCGATGATCTTGAGGTCTCTTCCAACCTCGAAATTCTGTGTGATTCTGTGTGTAATTAGAGAACACAGATAAGCAACTACAGAAACTGGAAAATCTCTTGTTTATTTAATATATCCCCTGTCACTGCAGGAATCTTATCCATAGTATATTATCTGGTACCTTAGAGTCACATTATCATAATTCAGGCTGGAAGGGACCTTCAGGGGTTATCTCCTTCTTCAACCCTGTGCTCAAAATAGTTCTATCAGATCAGGCTGATCAGGGCCATGTCCTGGAGAGCCCTGAACATTTACAAAGACTGGAGATTCTCCAGCTTCTCTGGGTAACCTATTCCAGTGTTTGGCCACCCTGATGGTATTGGTATTTTTTCCCCTTTTCCCTGGATACGGAATTTACCTTGCTGTAACTTGTGTCTGTTGCCGTCACTGTGCCCCTCTGAGAACGGGCTAGTTCCATCTTCCAATCCTGTCCTGCAGCCAGGTAGCTGTAGACAGCAACAAGGTCTCCCCCCTGCCTTCTCTTCTCCAAGCTGAAGATGTCCATCTCTCTCAGCCTGTTGATGTGCACCATGGTCTCTGACCAGTCCCTGACCATCCCAGAGGCCTTCTGAATAGACTCCCTCCAGTAAGTCAGCATTTTTCTTGTATGGGGGTAGCCTGTAACTGGACACTGTACTCAGACACAGTCCTACAAGTGCTGAATAGAGGTGAAGGATTCCCTGGCTCTGCTGGTCCCTGGACCTCTTGCTAAAACACCTCATGATGCCATTGGCTTTCTTCACTGCGAGGGCACACTGCTGCCTCGTATTCAAATTGTCCACTAGGACCCACGGGTCCTTTTCTGCAAACTGGCTTCCTAACACCCCCAGCCTGTATTGTTGCATGGGGTATTTCTTTCCAGATGCAAGAGCTTGCACTTGCTCTTGTTGGACTGCAGGAGGTTTGTGTTAGCCGGTTTCTGCAGACCGTGGGGTTTGCTCTGAATAGCAGCCCTGCCCTCCAGCTGAGTTCAGCTTTTGAAATACAATAAAAGAATGTAAAAGCTAGAGAGCCACGGTGGGAAAGAAGCACAGTGCATCAGAAGCCTCTCAAGGGAGAAGAGAGCCAGATGGAGATGATAGTTTCACTTACCTCTAGAACTTACTTGGAATGGGAAGGAAACATTAAAGAAATGCTCAGTTGGCTAAGCATTTTTCTCTCAGCATTAAGAAGTTAGTTTGATCTTCTGTCGTAGCCTCTTGGAAAAAAAAAGATTTTTGCTGATTTCTTAACATTTGCTGGCAACTTGCCTTATGGTATTGATATTGCACGACACTGTATTTGTTTCCCATAACATTTTAATTCTGTATCTGTTTTGATTTGATGACAGGGACAGTTTTAAGTCACAAACTGAAATGGAGTCTTTATATACATTTCTGTTTCCTCCAGAGGAGATGCCTGGGAGCTCCCACGACTGAAATGCGAATTACACTGCAGCTGGTCTATTTAAACTCTTTTTGTGCTGCAGTCTTCTTAGAAGAAGGAAGATTCTGAAAGCCAGGGAAACCATCTGGATTTATCTAATTCTTCTTCTTTTTCATAAAAGGTATGTAGTAAGACAAGCCATCCAAACACTTGCATTGCTAATGGAACGATATTCCTAATTCTTTGGCTCTGCAGATTCCATAAATCTTTATGGCTTTTAGAGTGGATACTCTTTCATAGTTTGTCACCACTTCCATCAAGATGGTGTTCCCTTTGCAAAATACCTATCCTAGGGCTCCACACAAACCACTTGTGGTGAGGGAGTGTGGCTCCAGGACAGACTACTCAGATGGATTAAGCAAATTCAGCCTCTGGCTGCTTTAGAAACTGTTTCAGGTTTTCACACCCCTTTTAAAAATCAAGCCTCTCAAGGATCCAGGTACTCTTTTCACAGGAACAAATAAAAACCTTTAGGACAGTCAAATCAGGTTAGGAAA